TATGGAACTACGAAACGTTGACAAAATTACCAACGTGCAGAGATACTGTGTGGGGTTAAGGGAGTTATCTTTTCTACAATAAGGTAAACTCTGCGGCACCACCAATGAAATAAGTACAATGGTGTGAGTGTTAACCTTTCATCCCTACAGTTCTAAGATAAACCAACCTACCAACGGAAGGAGATCATCCACATTGTCGTGTGGGAAAGAGCGAATGGCAGCGATGGTGCGGCTGAGCCGTTCAGACAGGGAATATTTACTCTGAATAGATTGCATGATGTACCACATAGTGGAACTCATGTGGAGCTGAGGACCATGGCACCCGGGCTGGGGTGCACTGACACCACACCACAGTCTACAACACCTGGCTGGCCAAGTTGGAGTTTCAGATCTGAAAAAAAAGCCGAACTGTGTTGGTATTGATAATAGTAAAGAATTACAGGTGTTCACTTAGAAGATACATTTTTGGTTTGAGCTAGGTCTCTCTAGACAGATGAGTTGCCTTCTAGAATGTACCAATAGTCCAGCTAGAGGAGGCTGGTGGGAGGAAATATAGGAGGACGGGCTCATTGTAATAGCTGGAATGGAATTAATGGAACGTATTAAACAAATCAAACATTTGTAAACCACATGTTTGACTCCATTCCATGTATTCCATTTCAGCCATTACAATGAGCCCATCCTCATATAGGTCTGGGATTTCCGAGACTAAACTAGAACTACATTATATTCTAGCAGGTCAATTTGTGGGCTTTTATCAGAAACGTCTTATGCATCAAAGGGGAGGGCAACCCCCCTCTGGTCAATATGTAAATGTAATGTTGACTGACATTGACATACTGCACATCAAACAATAACAACCCTTGTAACCTTTCTGTTTTGATACCCTGCCTACACTCACTGAATGGCTACTGTACAAGACAGTTAGCATAATTTCCCAACCTGGCAAACGTTTTTCAAGCTTTAAATGTGCATCATTAGTAAAAAAAAAAAAAGTAGAAACTTGGCAAAGTAACTAGATAGCTACCTTGTTAGGTTAACCTTGCAAGAAAACAACTTACTAGCCTGTTTACAAGCTGTTGCAACTCGTCGACTAGAAGCTAATGCTGACTAATACTTAGTGGCAAACTAGTTAGCTAACTTACTTGCATTAGCTAAGGTAGCGATAAATAAATAATATAGTTAAGCTATAGCTATCTAGCTAAATTCTTAAACATATTTGCAGTAGTTAACCCAAACACAAGCTAGGTAAACTAAATGTTGTGACCTCAGCAACAGCTAGATAACGTTAGATCTCTAACTTAATCGGTTGGCTGTTTTCCACTCTACTAGCTGACAGCTATAGCAGTTAAGATAACCATTATCATACATTTTAATGATTGTGATGAATATATAAAATATTCCTACAGCTTGAAATAAATTCAAGTTGCATCGTTATGTCGATATTTTGGGGCCCACAAACCGTTTATGGTCCAGTTTCAAGGAATGCCCTAACACCGTGTTCAATGCAACTTTGAAAAACACAGAGACGGTAGCGTCATTTTATTTGCTGCGAAAACATGCGACTGGGCAACACCCAAAACATCTACACAGGAATCTACTCTCACATTGAATTTTGTGTTTTTGTAATATTGTTGAGCATCTGGCATGTGTTCTTTTAATAGTAACAGCCTAAATGTAGTGCTGGCATTTATCACATACCACAGTAGCTATACTTCCTCTCGAAATATGGGCATCAGATGGCTCTGGGATGCACTTTAAAAACTGCACTCTGGCAGTGCCGTGTCAAATACCTTACGTGATGCAGTCAGTGTTGCCAACTCCTCAGTAAGGAAAGTAGCTATTGGCTGTCCTAAAAGTCGCTAGAAGTCGCTAAATGACGTCATCACCTACTTTGCATAATTGGCCATGTGCATGTAATTGTAATGGAAGCTGTAGGAGAGAGGAATAATGTAGTGGGAGAGACAAAAAGTGAGTAAAAAAAACCCTACATTTACATCCCGCCCTGAATGTAAGCCAGGGTGGGATCAGCCAGCGGCGGCTTCCCGCATGCGCGATTCATTTGCAGTCTGGACGGGGAGGGGTGAACATCTCCTGCTCTGACTGCAGCTGGGAGGGACTGCTGCGCGAGAACTGGGCCGCCTGTGAGTGCTTTGGGACGGGGCCCACAGGGGTGGGGCCCACGGCAGCACCCGTTGCTCGTTGAGAAGAGTAAGAACGATACGTGCTTTCACGTCAGAGTCTCCAAAAGTCTCCAATAACACCAGAAAAAGTTGCTAGATTTGTCGCTAGTTGCTTTTTTGAAAATGTGTTGCTAGAGGAGAAATAAACAATAAAAAATGAACAGTAAAGTTCCAAAAGAATAAAGACATTTAAAATGTCATATTATGTCTATACACAGTGTTGTACAAAGTACAAAAGGGAAAATTTACAATGGTTTTACAATGGTGGTTCTTCACTGGTTGCCCTTTTCTTGTGGCAACAAGTCACAAATCTTGCTGCTGTAACTGTGCACTGTGGTATTTCACAACGTCCCTTTTTCAGGACCCTGTCTTTCAAAGATCATTCGTAAAAATCCAATCTTCATTGTAAAGGGTTTAAACACTGTTTGCCATGCTTGTTCAATGAACCATAAACAATTAATGAACATGCACCTGTGGAACGGTCGTTAAGACACTAACAGTTTACAGACGGTAGACAATTAAGGTCACAGTTATGAAAACTTAGGACCCTAAAGAGGCCTTTCTACTGACTCTGAAAAACACCAAAAGAAAGATGCCCAGGGTCCCTGCTCATCTGCGCGAACGTGCCTTAGGCATGCTGCAAGGAGGCATGAGGACTGCAGATGTGGCCAGGGCAATAAATTGCTATGTCCATACTGTGAGATGCCTAAGACAGCGCTACAGGGAGACAGGACGGACAGCTGATCGTCCTTGCAGTGGCAGACCACGTGTAACAACACCTGCACAGGATCGGTACATCCGAACGTCACACCTGCGGGACAGGTACAGGATGGCAACAACAACTGCCCCCAAAAACTATAGTACTTACAGTTTTGGCCATGCAACATAGCACAACGACAGGGGGTCATTTAGGAGTACAAAAGCTACAGAGACACCATGACGAGATCCTGAGGCCCATTGTCATACCATTTATCCGTCGCCATCACCTCATGTTTCAGCATGATAATGCACGGTGCAAGGATAAATTCCTGGAAGCTGAAAATGTCCCAGTTCTTCTATGGCCTGCATACTCACCAGACATTTCACCCATTGAGCATGTTTAGGATACTCTGGATCAACGTGTACGACAGCATGTTCCAGTTCCCACCAATGTCCAGCAACTTCGCACAGCCATTGAAATGGAGTGTGGCCACAATTCCACTGGCCACAATCAACGGCCTGATCAACTCTATGCGAAGGAGATGTGTTACGCTGCATGAGACAAATGGTGGTCACACCAGATACTGACTGGTTTTCTGATCCACGCCCCTACCTTTTTTTTAAGGTACTGTATCTATGACCAACAGATGCATATCTGTATTCCCAGTCATGTGAAATCCATAGATTAGGGCCTAATTTATTTATTTAAATTGACTGATTTGCTTATATGAACTGTAACTCAGTAAAATCTTTGAAATTGTTGCATGTTGCATTTATATTTTTGTTCAGTATAAGTATAGATGACAAACAAATGGCCTACCAAATGTCTGAAATTATAATATGGCCTACCAAATGTCTGAAATTATAAGCAGAAACCTCTAATTTAGGGGTGAAGGTAGCCTGAGCCAGTAGGCTATAAGGTCCAGTAAGGAGTATTTGCAAAACAAATTATTATGCTGGATCGAACTGCGCAGGTATCCTACAATCAGATGAAAACGTCATCACACAACACCGGTGGTATGTGAGATATGGCGTGCATGTAAATGTGGTGCAGTGGTACAATTTGGAGAGGACCCTGGGGGTCATGCCGATTTTCTTCAGCCGCCTAAGGAAGTGGAGGCGCTGTTGCGCCTTCTTGACCAGAGTGTTCTCTGCTTCCTGAAGTCAAAAATCAACTCCTTTGTTTTGCTGACATTGAGGGAGAGGTTGTTGTCATGACACCACAATGCCAGTTCACTTACCTCCTCCCTATAGGCTGACTCGTTGTTGTTGGTTATTAGGGCTTAAGGCCGTCGTGTCGTCAGCAAACGTGATGGTGGAGTTGGTGTCGTGCGTGAACAGGGAGTACAGCAGGAGGCTGAGGAGGGCCCCTGTGTTAAGAGTCAGTACGGAGGAGTTGTTGTTGCCAATCCTTACAGCCTGTGGTCTGCCCATCATGAAGTCCAGAATCCAAATGTAGAGGGTGGTGTCCAGACCCAGGGCCCTGAGCTTGGTGACGACAATAGTGTTGAATGCTGAACTGTTGAAAAGACAATTAAAGAGTGATTTGGTGCAGTGAACAAGTCACTTTGTGAATTTGTTGCACTCAGTCAATTGAAAATGTGTTTAGAGTTTGGAAAAATGAGCCATTTTGATGATATGTTTACATTCATGTGCTTAGAGTTGTGAAAGTGTAAAATAAGACCAACGAAAGAGAAGCAGCCAAGAAAAATGACTTATCTCACTAATGACCCACTTCTTGGGCCCTATACTACCTCAAGGATAGGGTTTAAGGTATTTCCATTGATTCTTGATATCACTAGGTGCAAGAAACCAACTATGTTTAGTCCTCCATATGGCAGGATGCTGAGAGGACTGGAGAGGCCATGGAAACAATAATGCCTAAGGTGTAGAGGCTAAAATTGACAATTTCGATGATCTGTTTAGATGTTTGTGCTTCTAGTTCTGAAAATGTACCACATAATTGCACCAAAGTGATTGAAAACAAACTGTAGTATTCAGGCATGTAAAACAATCTATATCTTGACTTCTGAAACATACTGCAGTATCATTGTTTGAGATGAGTCTGAATGTTCATCCCTTTCCCAGACACAAACCCTAATAATCAGATTGTTAATCATGGAACACACCATCATCACAGGTAAAATATTCCCTGGGGATTTCCTTTTCTCATTACACAAAGAACAATAAGGCTGCGGTGCATACAAGGAAACGATCCGGCAGCATTCCCTCAAAGTCAATGAAGTGTCATTCCCTGAAACAAGGAAGAATGATGGTGAGAATCTGTTTTATTTCAAATGACCTTAGTCATGTTTAGAGTTAGGGACCTTCATTTTTTACTGAAACTTCCCTATGGAGGTCGTTTCAACAGACTATAGCTAGCTCTGGGGGTCTACCCAATGGACCAATTTGACTTTACAAAAGTAAAGTTTGTGACTTGATATCAGTGCTTTACGATACAATCCTAAAGCACATATTTCAATCACAATGCACAAGTCTGTTGCATGATGTCAATTTCCCTAATTCAAATATCGTAAAGCTGCAATCTTAGAAAAAAAGGTTCCAAAAGGGTTATTCGGCTGTCCCCATATAAATCGTGCTGGTTGTAAGTGCACCATTTCAGTAGTACACAGCAGCTCAAAATAAAGTAATTCATCCATTCTTGTATTATTGTTATCCCAGACCGTAGACCATGCAGGCATAATCATCACAATCATTTAACTCATCATACTGCAAAAGGGTTCTAGCAGGAAACAGCTGGCCTGAATATAGAGTAGCCAGGTGATTGTAAATTATTATATTTTTCAAATACCATTTATCTTGATTGACTCAAAAGTAACACATTAAATAATATTATCAATCAATGATCGATTTGGTCAAGGCCAGGCCAGACATGCGGAAAGAAGGAACGCCTGACAGACGTCAGATAATAGGGTGAGGCTTTGCAACATTGACTATAAATAGAACTGTTAGCTCTATACATCTTCAGACAACAGTTTACTTCTCAACAAGACTTCACAACAAGAGTTGTTAAAACAAAGGTAAGATTGAATAAAATAAAATAAATGTTGCTATATGTTTCTCTTGTCTGGTCTGATAATCAGGTTATATTTTAGTTTTTCTGTTCTCCATGGTAATTCTGATCCATGCATGAATGTTTTATTAATAAGGATGTCAAATGATTCAAACATTTAATTGATTTAATCACAGGATTTGCTGTGATTAATCGCAATTAATCGTAAATTATTCAGAATTTGCTCAAACTAAGCTGTATAAGATGTTTTCAGTGCATTTTCAACGCTTTCAGACAATGCGGTTAATCACAAGAGGAAAAAAAGAGTGCACTAAAATTACATAGAGTTAACTCGAGTTAACTGATTTACTCTGACAGCCCTAGTTTTTATTATTAATATTGTGTGCAAAAGTATTTCGTGATTTTTTTGTTGTTGAGATGTCTCTGTAGTTCTCTCTCACAATCTGAAAAGCAGCTATAAGCAAAAGATGTGCACATTACATTGAAGAGAGCAGCATGTTTTTTTAAGGATGGTAAACTGATAAACCCCTTTCTGCTTTTCAGAGATGAAGTTGTTTCCCTCTCTCCTGGCATTGTGGCTGTGCCTGATGTTCATCCAGCTAGCCCTGTCTACAGAGGACAGTTTGGGTGGCCCTTTCATTCACAGTTCAATAGAGGAGGCAAAGAGACTCGTAGATGAAGCCTACAAGTACTCCAGAGAAAAGTCAGTAAACCTGACAGTTGACCTCTTCAGATCTCTGTCTTTGTAAATTGTGTAAAATTGAAATAACCAGCACTAGTGTCTTATGCAACTAACACAATTGTCTCACTCAGTCGAAGAAACTGATTTACACTAGCCTTGTCTCACTCAGTCGAAGAAACTGATTTGCACTTTCTTATTTTTTAATTCGCTTTATTTTTTCCTTTTGTATTTCCTTTAGAAAATAATGGGTTCATCATTTCTATTTCTCATAAGTTCTTATGATTAGTACAATAAATCTGCCTCTGTACAGAGATTCTATTCAACTGCAGGAGCTTGTTTCTGTTCATAACTCTGTCATCTGCTTGTCCAGTGGTGGAAAAAGTACCCAATTGTCATACTTGAGTAAAAATAAAGATACCTTAATAGATAATAAGTCACCCAGTAAAATTCTACTTGAGTAAAAGTATTTAGTTTTAAATTTACTTAAGTATCAAAAGTAAATGTAATTGGTAAAATATATTTAAGTATCAATAGTAAAAGTATAAATAATTTCAAATTCCTTACATTAAGCAAACAAGATGGCCACCATTTTCTTGTTTTTTAAATTTACAGATAGTAAGGGGCACACTCCAACACTCAGACATAATTTACAAATGAGGCATTTGTGTTTAGTGAGTCCGCCAGATCAGAGGCAGTAGGGATGACCAGGGATGTTCTCTTGATAAGTGTGTGAATTGGACCATTTTCCTGTCCTGCTAAGCATAAAAAATGTAACAAGTACTTTTGAGTGTCAGGGAAAATGTATGGAGTAAAAAGTAGATTATTTTCTTTAGGAATGTAGCGGAGTAAAAGTACAAGTTGTCAATATTATAAATAGTAAAGTAAAGTACAGATACCCCAAAAAACTACTTAAGTAGTACTTTAAAGTATTTTTACTTAAGTACTTTACACCACTGTGCTTGTCCATATCTTAGGAGTCTGGAGAGAGTGCGTGGACAGTCCACAAGGCCCTCAGATGTCCTGCGTCTCATGAAGCAGCCTGCCAGGGACACGCGCTCTGCTGTACGGTCTGCAGACTACCTGGAGAACACCCTGAGACTGATCCATGAGAAAGTCCACCGCAACCACAGGCTGCACAAACGCTCACTCAACGCAACAGGTCAGTTTCACACAAATACACATAACCACGTACACACAAACACACATACACTCAGACACACACACACCCATCCACACACAAACACATCCACACATTATTCCTTATCTCTTGTTTCTCAGACTCCTCACAACACAGGAGCTAGACACCATTGCCCGGGTAACCGGCTGTGCAGCTCGTGTCAGCATACCCTCCTGCCACACCACACCCAACGTTAACAAGTACCGCACAGCCACCAGTGTCTGCAACAACCTGTAAGAGCACCAGGGGCATGACAGGTTTTATACTTTGACGCAACAATTTCAAAGCCTTGTGCACAGTAGTTGTATAAGGTGGAATATAAAGGTAAGTGCAATCAGTGTAGGTCTGAGGTCTGGCTATGCAGTCATAGGTCACAGGAGATGTGGCCTTATACAGGTAACTGCCAAAATAAAGGAAACACCAACATAAAGTGTATTAATATGGCGTTGGGCCACCACGATCCGCCAGAAAGGCTTCAATGCACCTTGGCATATATTCTACAAGTGTCTGGAACTCTATTGGAGGGATGTGACACCATTCTTCCACGCGAAATTCCATAATTTGGTGTTTTGTTGACGGTAGTGGAAAAAACTGTCTCAGGCACTGCTCCAGAATCTCCCATAAGTGTTGAATTGGGTTGAGATCTGGTGACTGAGGCAGCCATGACATATGGTTTACATAATTTTCATGCTCATCAAACCATTCAGTGACCACTCGTACTGTGCCCTGTGGATGGGGGCATTGTCATTCTATAGGGGCATAGCTATGGTAGCCAAAATAATGGCATGCCCAGCATTTTTATACATGACCCTTATCATGATGGGATGTTAATTGCTTAATTAACTCAGGAACCACACCTGTGTGGAAGCACCTGCTTTCAATATACTTTGTATCCCTCATTTACTCAAGTGTTTCCATTATTTTGGCAGTTACCTGTACCTTGAGTTTCTCAAGTGAGGTTTCTCTATTCTGATTTGTATTTTCTTCATTCTTCTTAGGAAGTACCCTCGTCTTGGAGCCTCAAACACCCCCTTCACTCGTTGGCTGCCTGCTCAGTATGACGATGGGGTCTCTAGACCCAAAATCTGGGACCCAAACAGGAGCTTCAACAACTTTGTGCTCCCTCTGGTATGATGACAATAAATATACATAGTTGGAATAACTGCTACTATTTCACCACAAGTTAGATATAAAGTAATATAATTGTCTTTCATTGTTCTCCCTCTGCCCTCTTTCCCTCCCTGTGTGCAGGTAAGGGAGGTCTCTAACCATATCCTGGCAACCAATGACGCCGGTGTAGAGAGAGATCGCGAGTTCACACACATGGTCACCATTTTTGGCCAGTGGAACGACCATGACCTGACATTCACGCCCAAATCCCCCAGCATCCGCGCCTTCAGCAACGGCCTGGACTGTGATCAGAGTTGTGAACGCTCCGAACCCTGTTTCCCCATCCAGGTCAGTCCCCGCTCTCACATCACATCCCACAGCCCAATACTTACAGCAGGCACTATGACTATACAGTCACCCCTGTATATCTGGACCTTTTCTATCCATGGTCAATGGATTATTTAAGCAATAAGGCCAGAGGAGGTGTGGTATATAGCCAATATACCACGGCTAAGGGACGTTCTTCGCACGACGCAACACGGAGTGCCTGGACACAGCCCTTAGCCGTGGAATATTGGCCATATATCACAAACCCCCGAGATACCTTATTGCTATTATAAACTTGTTACCCAACATAATTAGAGCAATAAAAATAAGCGTTTTGTCATACCCGTGGTATACGTTCTGATATACCACAGCTGTCAGTCAATCAGCATTCAGGGCTCAAACCCCCCAGTAATAGTTCTTCAACCTCCGTCTTGTCCTCCATGACCAGATTCCTCTCAATGACCCACGCTTGCCCACTGGCCCAGACAGCTGCATCCCAGTCTTCCGATCAGCGCCCGTGTGCGGCACAGGAAAGTCTGCTTTCAATTTCGGTGACATGGCCAACAGGAGGGAGCAGATCAATGCCCTGAATGCCTTCCTGGACTTGGGGCAGGTGTACGGCTCTGAGGAGGGGTTGGCGCGTGACTTACGTGACCTCACCAACGATGGAGGCCTGCTGCGTGTCAACAAAGAGTTCAAAGACAAAGGACGCGAGTTTCTACCTTTCACTGACGTGAAGGGGAACATGTGTGCAACCCGCGGGAGAATCACCTAAGTCACCAATGCCACGGAGGTGCCCTGCTTCATTGCAGGTTAGCCTTTCAACTCTGTTTGTCCGAAGAGTAGACCAATGTATATTTAGGTTAAAGTGTAAGAAACAGAATGATGACAAAAAGCGATAGAACTTTGACTAGAGGAAGTCTTTGACTTTCATGTATAATAGTTGTCCAGATACAGAAACACAATGTGCATGATGTTAATCTCAATCACTATTTGGCCTCACCTATAAGTCTCTGTCTTCCAGGTGATACTCGTGTGGATGAAAACATAGCTTTGACATCCATTCACACAATGTTCATGCGTGAGCACAACCGTCTGGCCCGTGCCCTGCGTCGTCTCAACCCACATTGGGACGGTGACACACTCTATCAGGAGGCCCGCAAGATCATGGGCGCCTACGCACAGGTACCAGTAACAGACTCATATCACCATATGATGTCATCTCCTTCTCTCCGCTATAGGTCCAGTGCTCTCTAACACACACTCTCCTTCCCTCTGCTTCTCCTCCTCACACACATACAGTAAACAGTCTTTGATCTTCTCACGTTGACACAGCTTCCCTGTCACATAAACACCTCAAAATGAATGTACTCTCACTCTCTTCTTCACCCTCCCTCCCAGGTGTTTGTGTTCAGGGACTACCTGCCGCACATTGTGGGTCCAGATGCCATGGCCCGGTAGCTCGGCCGTTACCCTGGCTACAATGAGACGATTGATCCCAGCATTGCCAACGTGTTTGCGACAGCAGCTTACCGCTTTGCCCACCTGGCCATCCAGCCCATGCTGTCCCGCCTGGACAGCAACAACAGGGAGAATCCCAGGTTCCCCAGCGTGCCCCTTTTCAAGGCCTTCTTCACCCCCTGGAGGCTGGTGTTTGAGGGTGAGTGGTGGTGGGTCACATAGGAATGCTTTGCAGACCCCTTGCCAGTTGTAAACTAATTCACTCTCTGGATTATTAACAGTCTATGATGGGGGGAAAGGTAAAAAACAACAACATCCTATTCTCTGTCTGTCCTCCTTTAGGTGGTATCGACCCTCTGATCCGAGGTTTGGTGGGTCGGCCTGCTAAGCTGAACACCCAGGACCACATGATGGTGGATGCTCTGAGGGAAAAACTATTCCAGTTTATAAGCCACCTGGCTCTGGACCTGGGCTCCCTCAACATGCAGCGTGGACGTGACCATGGCCTGCCTGGTACACACCCTCCACATTCCATCTATACCGTTATACTGCTACCACAGATAAACACATCTATACTGTTATACTGCTCCACAGATAAACACATCTATACTGTTATACTGCTCCATAGATAAACACATCTATACTGTTATACTGCTCCACAGATAAACACATCTATACTTTTATACTGCTACCACAGATAAACACATCTATACTGTTATACTGCTCCACAGATAAACACATCTATACCGTTATACTGCTCCACAGATAAATACATCTATACTGTTATACTGCTCCACAGATAAACACATCTATACTGTTATACTGCTCCACAGATAAATACATCTATACTTTTATACTGCTACCACAGATAAACACATCTATACTGTTATACTGCTCCACAGATAAACACATCTATACTGTTATACTGCTCCACAGATAAACACATCTATACTGTTATACTGCTCCATAGATAAACACATCTATACTGTTATACTGCTCCACAGATAAACACATCTATACTTTTATACTGCTACCACAGATAAACACATCTATACTGTTATACTGCTCCACAGATAAACACATCTATACCGTTATACTGCTCCACAGATAAATACATCTATACTGTTATACTGCTCCACAGATAAACACATCTATACTGTTATACTGCTCCACAGATAAATACATCTATACTTTTATACTGCTACCACAGATAAACACATCTATACTGTTATACTGCTCCACAGATAAACACATCTATACTGTTATACTGCTCCACAGATAAACACATCTATACTGTTATACTGCTCCACAGATAAATACATCTATACCGTTATACTGCTCCATAGATAAACACATCTATACTGTTATACTGCTCCACAGATAAACACATCTATACTGTTATACTGCTACCACAGATAAACACATCTATACTGTTATACTGCTCCACAGATAAACACATCTATACTGTTATACTGCTCCATAGATAAACACATCTATACCGTTATACTGCTCCACAGATAAACACATCTATACTGTTTATACTGCTCCATAGATAAACACATCTATACTGTTATACTGCTACCACAGATAAACACAATCTATACTGTTATACTGCTCCACAGATAAACACACTATAGCATGTTATAACTGCTCCACAGATAAACACATCTATACTGTTATACTGCTCCACAGATAAACACATCTATACTGTTATACTGCTCCACAGATAAACACATCTATACTGTTAGTACTGCTCCACAGATAAACACATCTTACTGTTAACTGCTCCACAGATAAACACATCTATACCGTTATAACTGCTACACACAGATAAACACATTCTATACTGTTATACGGCTCCACGATAAACACAATCTATAACTGTATACTGCTCCACAGATAAACACATCTATACTGTATACTGCTCCAAGATAAACACATCTATACCTGTATACTGCTACCATAGATAAAACACACCTCTATACTGTTATACTGCTACCACAGATAAACACATCTATACTGTTATACTGCTACCACATATAAACACATCTATACTGTTATACTGCTCCACAGATAAACACATCTATACTGTTATACTGCTCCACAGATAAACACATCTATACTGTTTACTGCTCCACAGATAAACACATCTATACTGTTATACTGCTCCACAGATAAACACAATCTATACCGTTATACTGCTCCACAGATCAACAAATCCTATACTGTTATAACTGCTACCACAGATAAACACATCTATACTGTTATACTGCTCCATAGATAAACACATATATACTGTTATACTGCTCCATAGATAAACACATCTATACTGTTATAACTGCTCATAGATAAACACATCTATACTGTTACCACAGACAAACATCTATACTGTTATACTGCTCCACAGATAAACCACATCTATACTGTTATACTGCTCCACAGATAAACACATCTATACCTGTTATACTGCTACCCACAGATAAACACATCTATACTGTTATACTGCTCCACAGATAAACACATCTAACGTTATACTGCTACCACCATAAACACATCTATACTGTTATACTGCTCCACAGATAAACACATCTATACTGTTATACTGCTCCACAGATAAACACATCTATACTGTTATACTGCTACCACAGATAAACACATCTATACTGTTATACTGCTACCACAGATAAACACATCTATACTGTTATACTGCTACCACAGATAAACACATCTATACTGTTATACTGCTCCACAGATAAACACATCTATACTGTTATACTGCTCCACAGATAAACACATCTATACTGTTATACTGCTCCACAGATAAACACATCTATACTGTTATACTGCTCCACAGATAAACACATCTATACCGTTATACTGCTCCACAGATCAACAAATCTATACTGTTATACTGCTACCACAGATAAACACATCTATACTGTTATACTGCTCCATAGATAAACACATCTATACTGTTATACTGCTCCATAGATAAACACATCTATACTGTTATACTGCTCCATAGATAAACACATCTATACTGTTACCACAGACAAACATCTATACTGTTATACTGCTCCACAGATAAACACATCTATACTGTTATACTGCTCCACAGATAAACACATCTATACTGTTATACTGCTACCACAGATAAACACATCTATACTGTTATACTGCTACCACAGACAAACACATCTATTCTGTTATACTGCTCCACAGATAAACACATCTATACTGTTATACTGCTCCACAGATCAACAGATCAACACATCTATACTGTTATACTGCTCCAGAGATAAACACATCTATACTGTTATACTGCTCCATAGATAAACACATCTATACCGTTATACTGCTACCACAGATAAACACATCTATACTGTTATACTGCTCCACAGATAAACACATCTATACTGTTATACTGCTCCATAGATAAACACATCTATACCGTTATACTGCTACCACAGATAAACACATCTATACTGTTATACTGCTCCATAGATAAACACATCTATACTGTTATACTGCTCCACAGATAAACACATCTATACTGTTATACTGCTCCACAGATAAACACATCTATACCGTTATACTGCTCCACAGATCAACAATCTATACTGTTATACTGCTCCACAGATAAACACATCTATACCGTTATACTACTCCACAGATAAACACATCTATACTGTTATACTGCTCCACAGATAAACACATCTATACTGTTATACTGCTCCACAGATAAACACATCTATACTGTTATACTGCTCCATAGATAAACACATCTATACCGTTATACTGCTCCACAGATAAACACATCTATATTGTTATACTGCTCCATAGATAAACACATCTATACTGTTATACTGCTCCATAGATAAACACATCTATACTGTTATACTGCTCCATAGATAAACACATCTATACTGTTATACTGCTACCACAGATAAACACATCTATACTGTTATACTGCTACCACAGATAAACACATCTATACTGTTATACTGCTCCACAGATAAACACATCTATACTGTTATACTGCTCCACAGATAAACACATCTATACTGTTATACTGCTCCACAGATAAAACACATCTATACCGTTATACTGCTCCACAGATCAACAAATCTATACTGTTATACTGCTACCACAGATAAACACATCTATACTGTTATACTGCTCCATAGATAAACACATCTATACTGTTATACTGCTCCATAGATAAACACATCTATACTGTTATACTGCTCCATAGATAAACACATCTATACTGTTACCACAGACAAACATCTATACTGTTATACTGCTCCACAGATAAACACATCTATACTGTTATACTGCTCCACAGATAAACACATCTATACTGTTATACTGCTACCACAGATAAACACATCTATACTGTTATACTGCTACCACAGACAAACACATCTATTCTGTTATACTGCTCCACAGATAAACACATCTATACTGTTATACTGCTCCACAGATCAACAGATCAACACATCTATACTGTTATACTGCTCCAGAGATAAACACATCTATACTGTTATACTGCTCCATAGATAAACACATCTATACCGTTATACTGCTACCACAGATAAACACATCTATACTGTTATACTGCTCCACAGATAAACACATCTATACTGTTATACTGCTCCATAGATAAACACATCTATACCGTTATACTGCTACCACAGATAAACACATCTATACTGTTATACTGCTCCATAGATAAACACATCTATACTGTTATACTGCTCCACAGATAAACACATCTATACTGTTATACTGCTCCACAGATAAACACATCTATACCGTTATACTGCTCCACAGATCAACAAATCTATACTGTTATACTGCTCCACAGATAAACACATCTATACCGTTATACTACTCCACAGATAAACACATCTATACTGTTATACTGCTCCACAGATAAACACATCTATACTGTTATACTGCTCCACAGATAAACACATCTATACTGTTATACTGCTCCATAGATAAACACATCTATACCGTTATACTGCTCCACAGATAAACACATCTATATTGTTATACTGCTCCATAGATAAACACATCTATACTGTTATACTGCTCCATAGATAAACACATCTATACTGTTATACTGCTCCATAGATAAACACATCTATACTGTTATACTGCTACCACAGACAAACACATCTATACTGTTATACTGCTCCACAGATAAACACATCTATACTGTTATACTGCTCCACAGATAAACACATATATACTGTTATACTGCTACCACAGATAAACACATCTATACTGTTATACTGCTACCACAGACAAACACATCTATTCTGTTATACTGCTCCACAGATAAACACATCTATACTGTTATACTGCTCCACAGATCAACAGATCAACACATCTATACTGTTATACTGCTCCAGAGATAAACACATCTATACTGTTATACTGCTCCATAGATAAACACATCTATACCGTTATACTGCTACCACAGATAAACACATCTATACTGTTATACTGCTCCATAGATAAACACATCTATACTGTTATACTGCTCCATAGATAAACACATCTATACCGTTATACTGCTCCACAGATAAACACATCTATACTGTTATACTGCTACCACAGATAAACACATCTATACTGTTATACTGCTCCACAGATAAACACATCTATACCGTTATACTGCTCCATAGATAAACACATCTATACTGTTATACTGCTCCACAGATAAACACATCTATACCGTTATACTGCTCCTGTCACGATGTTAGAAATGGTGTGGTGTGGAATCAAGCGCAGAAGCAGATGGACAGTCCAACAAGACTTTACTGTAGAGTGCAAAAATAAATCCAACAAAGCCAGAGGCCAAAAAGACGCACACAGGCGTCAAAACACGAGCGCACACACAGGGCGCAAAACTCTCCTCAACCGAGGAGGTAGCTCAATGGTAAAGGCGTACCGAAACACGGGTAACGCACGAACACCTGACACAAAACAATAAACGATACGTAACGTCCTCAGACAATGACTGACAAGGAACAAAAACCCACAAACACAAGGTGAACACAGACAGTTTAAATATGGCTCCCAATCAGAGATAACGAGCCAACAGCTGACACTCGTTACCTCCGATTGGGAGTCATTTGACCAAACAAGGAAAACACAACCAATGACAACCCAACCAAACCAAACACAACCAAAACGAACACACCCTGGCTCAAAATACAAAGTCCCGGAGCCAGAGCGTGACAGTACCCCCCCCTAAAGGCGCGGACTGCGACCGCGCCTCCAAAACCCCAAATAGGGGAGGGCTGGGTGGGTGTTGCTCCTCGGAGGCGGCTCCGGCTCCGGGCTTGACCACCACCCTACTTCAATCCCCCCGTAATTTTCCCGATCCGATCTGACCCAGCTGGCTGGATCAGGACTGACGACGCGCACCCCTGGCTTAGCGCGTGAGGCAGGAACGGACCGGACCTGGCTGACGATACGCACCCTAGGCTTGGTGCGTGGAGCCGGAACGGACCTCACCAGGCTGACGACTCGCATCCCTGGCTTGGTGCGAGTAGCAGGAATGGGCTGGACCAGGCTGACGACTCGCACCCTTGGCTTGGTGCGAGTAGCAGGAACAGGCTGGACCAGGCTGACGACTCGCACCCTTGGCTTGGTGCGAGTAGCAGGAACGGGCTGGACCAGGCCGACGACTCGCATCCCTGGTTTGGTGCGAGTAGCAGGAACGAGCTGGACCAGGCTGACGACTCGCATCCCTGGTTTGGTGCGAGTAGCAGGAACGGGCTGGACCAGGCTGACGCCTCGCACCCCTGGCTTGGTGCGAGTAGCAGGAACGGACCTCACCAGGCTGACGACTCGCATCCCTGGTTTGGTGCGAGTGGCAGGAACAGGCCGGGTCGGGCTGGCGACGCACACCGTAGGCTTTGTGCGTGGAGCAGGGACAGGCCGGGCTGGGCTGGCGACGCACCTCGTAGGCTTGGTGCGTGGAGCAGGGACAGGCCGGGCTGGGCTGTCGACGCACACCACTGACTTGGTGGGAATGGCAGGAACCGGCCGGGCTGGGCTGACGACGCGCACCACTGACTTGGTGGGAATGGCAGGAACAGGCCGGGCTGGGCTGACGACACGCACCACTGCCTTGGTGGGAATAGCAGGAACAGGCCGGACCGTACTGGGGACACACACTACTGGCCCCACGCAGGGATCAGGAACGGGCCGGACCGGACTGGTTACACACCCCAGTACCTCTCGCCGTGCCTCCACACTTTCCCTCTCCTCTGTGCCCAGTGGCCCCCCTAACCTGGCGGCCTTCTCTGCCAACGCTTTGCACCGCTCTAACCCGTACACCTGCTGCCCCGACGTCGTGAGCCCCCCCCTAAAAATTTCCTGGGGGTCTCTCCTCCCCGTGGCCCAGGCCTCTCTCCCTCTTGCCAGACTCGCAATCATCTCCTCCCACGTCCATCCTCTCTCCTCGTCACGCTGCTTGATCTGGTTAAGGTGGGTTTTTCTGTCACGATCGTTGGTTAGAGAGGACCAAGGCGCAGCGTGTTGAGCGAACATACTTTAATAGTAAAGTGCACACACGAATACAAAACAATAAACGATACGTAACGTCCTCAGACAATGACTGACAAGGAACAAAAAACCCCAAACACAAGGTGAACACAGACAGTTTAAATATGGCTCCCAATCAGAGATAACGAGCCGACAGCTGACACTCGTTACCTCCGATTGGGAGTCATTTGACCAAACAAGGAAAACACAACCAATGACAACCCAAACAAACCAAACACAACCAAAACGAACACACCCTGGCTCAAAATACAAAGTCCCGGAGCCAGAGCGTGACAGCTCCATAGATAAACACATCTATACTGTTATACTGCTACCACAGATAAACACATCTATACTGTTATACTGCTCCATAGATAAACACATCTATACTGTTATACTGCTCCACAGATCAACACATCTATACTGTTATACTGCTCCACAGATAAACACATATATACTGTTATACTGCTACCACAGATAAACACATCTATACTGTTATACTGCTCCACAGATAAACACATCTATACCGTTATACTGCTACCACAGATAAACACATCTATACTGTTATACTGCTCCACAGATAAACACATCTATACTGTTATACTGCTACCACAGATCAACACATCTATACTGTTATACTGCTCCACAGATAAACACATCTATACTGTTATACTGCTCCAGATAAACACATCTATACTGTTATACTGCTACCACAGATAAACACATCTATACTGTTATACTGCTCCACAGATAAACACATCTATACTGTTATACTGCTCCACAGATAAACACATCTATACTGTTATACTGCTCCACAGATAAACACATCTATACTGTTATACTGCTCCACAGATAAACACATCTATACCGTTATACTGCTCCACAGATAAACACATCTATACTGTTATACTGCTCCAGATAAACACATCTATACTGTTATACTGCTACCACAGATAAACACATCTATACTGTTATACTGCTCCACAGATAAACACATCTATACTGTTATACTGCTCCACAGATAAACACATCTATACTGTTATACTGCTCCAGATAAACACATCTATACTGTTATACTGCTACCACAGATAAACACATCTATACTGTTATACTGCTCCACAGATAAACACATCTATACTGTTATACTGCTCCACAGATAAACACATCTATACTGTTATACTGCTCCACAGATAAACACATCTATACCGCTATACTGCTCCACAGATAAACACATCTATACTGTTATACTGCTCCACAGATAAACACATCTATACCGTTATACTGCTACCACAGATAAACACATCTATACTGTTATACTGCTCCACAGATAAACACATCTATACTGTTATACTGCTCCACAGATAAACACATCTATACTGTTATACTGCTCCACAGATAAACACATCTATACTGTTATACTGCTCCACAGATAAACACATCTATACCGTTATACTGCTCCACAGATCAACACATCTATACTGTTATACTGCTCCACAGATAAACACATCTATACTGTTATACTGCTCCACAGATAAACACATCTATACTGTTATACTGCTACCACAGATAAACACATCTATACTGTTATACTGCTCCACAGATAAACACATCTATACCGTTATACTGCTCCACAGATAAACACATCTATACTGTTATACTGCTACCACAGATAAACACATCTATACTGTTATACTGCTCCACAGATAAACACATCTATACTGTTATACTGCTCCATAGATAAACACATCTATACCGTTATACTGCTCCACAGATAAACACATCTATATTGTTATACTGCTACCACAGATAAACACATCTATACTGTTATACTGCTCCACAGATAAACACATCTATACTGTTATACTGCTCCATAGATAAACACATCTTTACCATTCAACTCATATCCTTTACCTATGTTATAATTTCTCCTTTGATATACTGTATCTATCAGTCTGTTCCATTCATGCATTATTTCCTTTCTCTATCCTAACCTAGACTACAATGCTTGGCCGTAAATTCTGTGGGCTCTCAACGCCTAGTAACCTGGACGAGCTGGCCGTGGTTCTGGACAACACAGACCTGGCCTTCAGACTGCTGCAGCTCTACGGCACTCCAGATAACATTGATGTGTGGATGGGGGGCGTGGCTGAACCCTTCGTGCACGGGGGCCGCGTCGGGCCTCTCTTCACCTGCCTCATCGCCACCCAGTTCCAGAGGATCCGCCAGGGAGACAGGTGTGTGTGTGTGTGTGTGTGTGTGTGTGTGTGTTTGTGTGTGTGTGTGTGTGTGTCATTGCCTGACCTGCATCAAGTAAGGTATTTGACATAGCACTGCCACTTTTTAAAGATCCAGTGTGTGTTTCTCTGTTAGAGTATGTCTCATATTGCTTGTTGATCCCCAGGCTGTGGTATGAAAACCCAGGCGTCTTCACCTCGGCACAGAGGAATGCCCTGAGAAATGCCTCTCTGGCCCTGATCATCTGTGACAACACTGGCATTACAGCCGTGTCCCGTGACCCCTTCAGCATCCCGGGGGAGGGAACACACCCATCAACTGCAACAAGGTCCCGAAATGAAACCTTAGAGCCTGGAAGGAGAGCGCTTCTATGGCCGATCAGGAGCAGCAGGATGAGGAGCCGGATCAGGAGCCGTCAGAACAGGACAACGAGGTAACTGATTGAACTTCAATATCAGTTAAGGTGACATTTAATCCATCCATAACCCATCCACCCATCTCTCCATCCACCCCTCTCTCCATCCATCCTTCTCTCCATCCCCTCCTCTCTCGTCCCCTCCTCTCTCCATCCCCTCCTCTCTCCATCCCCTCCTCTCTCGTCCCCTCCTCTCTCCCTCCCTCCTCCTCCACTCTCCATCCCCCTCCCTCTCTCTCCCATCCTCTCTCCATCCCCGCGCTCTATCCCCCAGCTTCCATCCCCTCCAATCTCTCGCCCCGCCTCTCCTCCCTCCTCTACCCCTACTCTCTCATCCCCTCCTCTCAATCCCTCCTCTCTCCTCCCCTCCTCTCTCGTCCCCCCTCTCCATCCCCTCCTCTCTCCATCCCCCTCCTTTCTCCTTCCCCCTCCCTCTCGTCCCCATCCTCTCCCATCCCTCTCCCTCATCCCTCCTCTCTCCCTCCTCTCGTCCCCTCCTCTCTCCATCCCTCCTCTCTCCAGACATCATCCTCTTTTTCTCTATTCCTCTCTAGATCTGATGTGATGTGAGCCCCTCCTCCCGACGCCCTCCCGAACACCCCCCGGACGCCCCTGGACACCCCCCGACGCCCCCGGTAGCCCCAAGCCCGCAACATACGCCATGCCAGCAGCTCACCGCCTTCTCTCACCCACAACCCTTTCTGTCCCAGTGGCCGACAACTTTCTCACCCCACAACCCTTCTCTGTCCAGCTGGCCGACAACTTCCTCACCCACAACCCTTCTCTGTCCAGCTGGCCGACAACTTCCTCACCCACAACCCTTCTCTATCCAGCTGGCCGACAACTTCCTCACCCACAACCCTTCTCTGTCCAGCTGGCCGACAACTTCCTCACCCACAACCCTTTTCTGTCCAGCTGGCCGACAACTTCCTCACCCACAACCCTTCTCTGTCCAGCTGGCTGACAACTTCCTCACCCACTACCCTTCTCTGTCCAGCTGGCTGACAACTTCCTCACCCACTACCCTTCTCTGTCCAGCTGGCTGACAACTTCCTCACCCACAACCCTTCGCTTTCCAGCTGGCTGACAACTTCCTCACCCACAGCAAAGTCATAGTTTTTAGCCAGGTCGTCTACAACAGGCCAAACCATTACAATATAAAGTCAGGTGTGTTCATAACCACCAGCACCACACCTGGTGATACCAGTTTTCTTTCAGTTTCTCAGTGTGGACCTGTGGCGTAACAATGAGGTGAATTGTGTCAATGGCCTCACTTCAGACAGCTTCTTCTCAGGACACCTGCTGTACTTCTTGCAGATAATTAACTAGTTTGTTATGCCTTTGTTACTGTGGATTTTTATGTGTTGCTATGACAATCAATCAAGGAGTACTTCATACATTTTGTATTTTGTGCGAAGGAATGCAAAAGACTTGCCTTTATAAAAACGTTTACAAATCATAAAGTAAAAACATTTCTACAAAGAAAGGAAAACTACTGCTGAATTCCTCTATACACACCGCCTTACCTCCAACATATACAATGGCACTAAACATGTAGGACGAATGTCAATCAGCTAGCAGTTCTAGTAGCCATTTTGGATAATTGTGTACTTAGTTTATTATCAACAATCTTAGATTATATATGTTCAAGTCAGTTATCATAAGACTTTGCTAATTGTAGATTTTGTGCACCTTCTGTACTGATTTACATGTTTAGTGCTTTTATTATGATGCATTTTGCTAATATTTTATTTTATTGAAACACTGTATTCATGTGTTTTATTGCATGAATAAGCACTGCATCAGAAAAAGAAATTAAAAAGACTCAACTAAGACAGAACATTTATTTGCACGGTGGCAGGTAGTCTAGCGGTTAAGAGCGTTGGGCCAGTAACTGAAAGGTTGCTGGTTCTAATCCCTAAGCCGAATAGGTGAAACATCTGTCGATGTGCCCTTGAGCAAGGCACTTAACCCTAATTGCTCCTGTAAGTCGGTCTGGATAAGAGCTTCTGCTAAATAACTAAAATGTAAATGGTGTGTTAACCTCTTCTACTCTATGCTGAGAGTGTTTGGATGAGAAAACAGGTGGCATACCCTAACCCAGGGGTTCCCAAACTATTTGGGCCCTTACCCCATTTTGATATCTGAAAATTCTCATGACCATTTGAAAAACAATTATGTAATTAACAGCCTGTTTTCTTTTTAATTGGGGCTATGGCAGTCAATTGCAAAACATTCTATAAGTATTTCTGATTGTATTCTCAACTCACCATTATATACTTTTAATGTGGGGCTATGACAGTCAATTGCAAATTAGTCTGACATAATTTATCTTATCTCACCACAACTAATGAGATGGGTGTGCTTGATGCATGTCACGTCCGAGCGTCTCATAGTCAGGGGGCGTGGTCGAAAGTGCGCACCTCATCTCTCCTGTCACATCCAACCTGGATCGATATTTGTTTGTAATGCAGACGAGAGCGCTGAATCAGCGTACCAATAGTTTTAATGCTCGGAGGGTGACCGCACAGTATTCCGTTTGAGTCAGGAACCAAAACTCCTCCATAGTGACCCGTGAATGCGTTGTCTGCAGCATTCGGTTTCATGTACCGGCATGTCAACTGAGCAAGGATCACAGTCAAATGGATTTCGCTGATTCGGTTACTCATCTGTAGAATTGTTTTGTATTTCCCCTGCATGCTTGCGTTCAGTTAATTCAGTTTCCCAAATATGTCTGTTACATAGGCAAGGATACACATTGTCTTTAATTACACAGAAAGTCAACAAAGTCTGTTTTTTACATCCATTGCGAATGACAACAGTTCCTCTCTCAATTCGAAAGATATTCCCAACACTCCCCCTCGACAACCACCAGGCCTCAGTGTGAAATAGAACATTGTCATGCTCTGATCCAAAATCACATAGTTTTGGGAACAGGCGTGCCCGATGTAGTTTACAAAGTTACCTACTGCTAATTGTGCTCTCAGGTTGAATTTAAACTTTTAGATTTGAATTATTTTCATTTAGATTTTTAAGGTTAACCACATTACAATCATTTTGAGAGACAAAGAGGATATAATATTATAATATTTTATTTTTACCAGGATTTTGGAAATTATCCCGTGACACCATTTTCATATCAGATGACCCCACATGTGGTCGCGACCCTTAGTTTGGGAACCGCTGCACTAACCCTATCCCTTTACAGAATGAAGAACACTTAACAGTCTGGGTACCCTCCTTAAGATAACATGTCAATCCCTGAAATCAGCATGAAAAACTGATAATTTCCAAAGCATTGGTGTGGCTGTTTTATTTCAAATGACCTTAGTCATGTTGCACTGGGCCTTTGAACAAGGTTTGCCATTACTCATTTACTCCTGGCTTCTCTGGAAGGTGTGTAGAAAACATAGTATGAAAGATAAGTTGAAGAGGTGTTTTAAGGAAAATAAAGGAAAGTCAATGGGTATGAAAATGTTAACCTATTCAATTTCAGACTCTAAGCTATAAACACTAACAAATATTTTTTTTGTTCAAAATTAAAGTATTTATTCAGGTTTGCTTGCCACCCACAGATTTGGAAAAGGTGGCAGGTTCCTGTCATGCCAAATAGTGTCCATCTCCTGAGTCACAATGGGCTAAAACAGGGTCACACAAGGTGTTTTTTGGTAGTCTTATACAAATCTTTATGGTATCAAAAGTATACACCTCACACACACATGGTTATTGGCTCACACACCTCACACACACATGGTTATTGGCTCACACACCTCACACACACATGGTTATTGGCTCACACACCTCACACACACATGGTTATTGGCTCACACACCTCACACACACATGGTTATTGGCTCAAATTGAAGAAACCTGTACCATGTCAGATATTGACTTGAAATGTTTTTAAGTTTGAGACACTTTAATATACAACACAGAAGATTAAAAGATTAAAACCTCTTAGTTTTTTTCAAGTGTACATGAAGAGGACTATTCAAAGATGCTCTGTTGGTCAATATTCCACTTCGGTGAATCCTTATCGTCTTGTCAACATGTGCAAAAGAAATGGAGCAGATTTCTTATACCAATCTGTCTGTATAGGTTTTTATCCATAACAAGGCCCAGGCGTCCTCTACTACGTAAGTAAGCCTTGTCCAACCCAGAACAGCCCATAGTGGCAGGAGCCCATCTTGTTTTTATGTAGCGTCAAGCAGCTTGATGACAAACACAGCCCCTGGACAGGACGCTAGTCTGTCAAAGGGCCTTACCCCCAATACATCTCTTTAATGCTGAGTGCCAAGCAGACGCATTAGGTCCTGTTTTTAGAGTCTTTGGTATGACTCGACCGTGGATAAGCCCCAACCTTCCAATCTCTGGGCGGACACTTCAATCACAAGGTCATTGAGTTGGTTCCAGGCGTTCTTTGTGTGATAAATCTCTCCAAAATGTCAAATTGTGTAAAATCTTTCTATCCATTTCTATAATTTACATGAAATAATTGTTATGGCCAAAGTGACATTCTTTGATATACAGTGCATTCGGAAAGTATTCAGCCTTATTCTAAAATTGATTAAATAGTTTTTTCCCCTAATCAATCTACACACAATACCCCATAATGACAAAGCAAAAACCGTTTTTTTTTTATCTTAGCAAAAAAAATACATATTTTTGATTGAAATATCACATTGTGATTACAGCCTCGAGTCTTCTTGGGTATGACACAACAAGCATGGCACACGTGTATTTTGGGAGTTTCTACCATTCTTCTCTGCAGATCCTCTCAAGCTCTGTCAGGTTGGATAGGGAGCGTTGCTGCACAGCTCTTTTCACGTCTCTCCAGAGATGTTCAATCAGGTTCAAGTCCGGGCTCTGGCTGGGCCACTCAAGGACATTCAGAGACTTGTCCCGAAGCCACTCCTGCGTTGTCTTGGCTGTGTGCTTAGGGTAATTGTCCTGTTGGAAGGTGAACCTTCATGCCAGTCTGAGGTCCTGAGCGCTCTCTGGAACAGGTTTTCATCAAGGATCTCTCTGTACTTTGCTCCATTCATCTGTCCCTCAATCCTGACTAGTCTCCCTGTCCCTGCCGCAGAAAAACATCCCCACAGCCTAATGCTGCCACCACCATGCTTCACCGTAGAGATGGTGCCAGGTTTCCTCCAGATGTGACGCTTGGTATTCAGGCCAAAGAGTTCAATCTTGTTTCTCATGGTCTGAGAGTCCTTTAGGTGCCTTTTGGCAAACTCCAAGTGGGCTGTCATGTGCCTTTTACTGAGGAGTGGCTTCCGTCTGGCCACTCTACCGTAAAGGACTGGTTGGTGGAGTGCTGCAGAGATGGTTGTGCTTCTGGAAGGTTCTCCCATCTCCACAGAGGAACTCTGGAGCTCTGTCAGAGTGACTATCGCGTTCTTGGTCACCTCCCTGACCAAGGCCCTTCTCCTCCGATTGCACTGTTTGGCCGGGCGGCCAGCTCTAGGAAGAGTCTTGGTGGTTTCACATTTTTCCATTTAAGAATGACGGAGTCCAATGTGTTCTTGGGGACATTCAATGCTGCAGACATTTTTTGGTACCCTTCC